TTTTTTTTTCCCTTGTTTTTTATTTTTTTTTTTTTTTTTTTTTTTTTTTTTTTTTTTTTTTTGAGACAGGGTTTTGCTGTAGTTTTAGAGCCTGTCCGGATCTTCCAGGCTGGCCTCGAACTCACAGAGACCCGCCTGCCTCTGCTTGGGATTAAAGGCGTGTGCCGCCACTAACGACGATGTCATTATTTTTTTTTCTGCTGTGTTGTACTCCATTGTGTAAATGTACCACATTTTCCTTATCCATTCTTCGGTCAAGGGGCATTTAGGTTGTTTCCAGGTTCTCGCTATGACGAACAATGCTGCTATCAACATAGTTGAGCACATGTCCTTGTGGCACGGTTGAGTATCCTTTGGATATATACCCAAAAGTGGTATTGCTGGATCTTGACATAGGTTATTTCCTAATTTTCTGAGAAATAGCCATACTGATATCCAAAGGAGCTGTACCAGTTTGCACTCCCACCAGCAATGCAGGAGTGTTCCCTTTACCCCACATCCTCTCCAGCATAAGTTGCCATCAGTGTTTTTGATCTTGGTCATTCTTACAGGTGTAAGATGGAATCTCAGAGTTGTTTTGATTTGCATTTCTCAGATGGCTAAGAATGTTGAGCATTTCCTTAAGTGTCTTTCAGCCATTTTAGATTCCTCTGTTGAGAATTCTCTGTTTAGGTTTGTATCCATTTTTTTTTTTTTTACTGGATTATTTTTTTCTTTTGATGACCAGTTTCTTGAGTTCTTTGTATATTTTGGAGATCAGCCCTCTGTCTGATGTGGGGTTGGTAAAGATTTTTACCCATTCTGTAGGCTGCCATTTTGTCTTATTGACCATGTCCTTTGCTTTATAGAAGCGTCTCAGTTTCAGAAGGTTCTATTTATTGTTTCTCTCAGTGTCTGTGCTACTGGGGTTATATTTAGGAAGTAGTCTCCTGTGCCAATGCGTTCCAGTGTACTTCCAGCTTTCTCTTTGGTTTGCTTTATGTTGAGGTCTTTGATCCATTTGGACTTGAGTTTTGTGCATGGTGATAGATAATGTTTTTTTTTCATTCTTATATATGTTGATATCCAATAATGCCAGCACCATTTGTTGAATGTGTTTTATTCCATTTTATATTTTTTGCTTCTTTGTTGAAAGTCAGGTGATCATAGGTGTGTGGATTGATATCTGGGCCTTTGATTTGGTTTCATTGGTCTTCCTTTCTTTCTTTTTTTTTTTTTTTTTTTTTTGGTTTTTCAAGACAGGGTTTCTCTGTGGTTTTGGAGCTTGTCCTGGAACTAGCTCTGTAGACCAGGCTGGTCTCGAACTCACAGAGATCCGCCTGCCTCTGCCTCCNGCTCTGTAGACCAGGCTGGTCTCGAACTCACAGAGATCCGCCTGCCTCTGCCTCCTGAGTGCTGGGATTAAAGGCGTGCGCCACCACCGCCCGGCCCTCCTTTCTATTTTTATGCCAACACCAGGCTGTTTTCAGTGTTGTAGCTTGGTAGTAGAGTTTGAAGGCAGGAATTGTGATGCCTCTAGAAGTTCCTTTATTGTACAGGATTGTTTTGACTATCCTGGGTTTTTTGCTTTTCCATATGAAATTGCGTATTGTTCTTTCGAAGTCTGTGAAGAATTTTGCTGGGTTTTTGATGGGCATTGCATTAAATTTGTAGATTGCTTTTGGTAAGATTGCCATTTTTACTATGTTAATTCTAACTACCCAAGTGCATGGGAGTTCTTACCATATTCTGGTGTCTTCTTCAGTTTCTTTCTTCAAAGATTTAAAGTTCTTGCATATAGGTCTTCCACTTGTTTGGTTAGAGCTACTCTGAGATATTTTATGCTATTTGTGGCTATTGTGAAAGGTGATGTTTCTCTGATTTCTTTCTCAGCCCATTTATTATCTGTGTAAAGGTGGGCTACTGATTTTTTTTTTAACTAATCTTGTATCCTGCTACATTACTGAAGGTGTTTATGAGTTGTTGAAGTTCCTTGGTAGAATTTTTGGGGTTGCTTATATAAGCTATCATATCATCAGCAAATAGTGAGAGTTTGACTTTTTTTTTTCCCAATTTTTGTTGTCTTTTGCTCTATCCAGAACCTCAGGAACTATATTGAATAGATAGGGAGAGAATGGACAACCTGCCTTGTTCCTGATTTCAAAAGGATCACTTTGAGTTTCTATCCATTTTGTTTGATATTGACTGTTGGCTTGGGGTATATTGCCTTTATTATTTTTAGGTATGTTTCTTGTATCCCTGCTCTAAGACCTTTATCATAAAGGGATGTTGTATTTTGTTGAATGCTTTTTCAGTATCTAATGAGATGATCATGTGGGTTTTTTTTTTTTTAAGTTTGTTTATATGGTGGATTACATTGATAGATTTTCATATGTTGAACCATCCCTGCATCTCTGGGATGAAACTGACTTGATTATGGTGGATGTTTTTTCTGATGTATTCTTGGATTCAATTTGCCAGTATTTTATTGAGTATTTTTACATCAATGTTCATGAGTGAGATTGGTCTGTAATTTTCTTTCTTAGTAATGTTTTTTTGTGGTTTGGGTATCAGGGTAATTGTAGCCTCATAAAAAGAATTTGGCAATGTTTCTTCTGTTTCTAATATGTGGAACAATTTGAGGAGTATTGGTATTAATTCTTCTTTGAAAATCTTGTAGAATTCTGAGCTGAAACCATCTGGCCCTGGGCTTTTTTTGGTTGGGAGACTTTTGATGACTGTTTATTTCTTTAGCAGTTATAGATCTATTTAATTTGCTTATCTGGTCTTGATTTAATCTTGGTAAGTGATATTTATTCAGAAAATTTGTCCATTTTCCTTTAGGTTTTCCAATTTTGTGGAGTACAGGTTTTCTAAATAGGACCTAATGATTCTCTGGATTTCCTCCATGTCTGTTGTTATGTCCCCCCTTTTTTTCTGATTTTGTTAATTTGGATATTCTCTCTCTGCCCTTTAGTTAGTTTGGATAAAGGTTTGTCTATTTTGTTGATTTTTTTTTTTAATTTTCTCGAAGAACCAAATTTTTGGCTCATTGATTCTTTATATTGTTTTCTT